CTGCATCGTTCTCCAAATTTAGAAGCATAGCTTGATCAGAATCTTTACTGATATATATTTCTGTAAAAATTCCATCAATTTCTTGTAGCCTTTCAGTTTGTTAATGTCAGGAGTGCTTCATTTTCTAGTGCTTAAAAATACGGAATGTCTTCTAAAGTATGTCAGATATTAACTTCTCTAATGAACTCCTACCTTTAAAGCCATATACTCCTACCTTTGTTTATCCTCTCTGAATGATTTAATATCTATCCATTAATGTCCTCTAGCATACATATTTGTGGTTGACCACCTTTTTACTTCAGAGATCATTTGGAAAACTTTCCTCATTCCCCTCCCCCCCAATGCTTTTTCATCTTTGATAGCTGTTGAGATATCATGGCAATATTGTTTCTTGTCTGTTCTAACAAGTCTGAAATTCTTTTTAAGTTCTTTCCTGTGATCTTTGAGTGTTTTTGGCTTTGGTTTCTCTTCATGACAATTTCTACTATTTGTTCTTATGTCCAATTTGGTTTTTCTATTCCTACGTCTTTAGCAGCCTCTTTTCATATTCATCTTAAGAACTTCCTTAAGTTCATTGCACAGTTCCTCTGATTCCCTTATCAAGGAGGTTCAGGACTTCAAAACAATTTTTGATGTCCCCCTTGAAAATGGCAGGGACATATGTTCAAAATCATACCATGGACACTGGCTGACTTTCTTCTGCTTTACCTTGACTTGGAATTTGAACACGAGCAATTTGTGAACATATCCCACATTCAGCCTTTGGCCACACCTTTGCTGTTATAACTGAGTTATTCTACCTCCTTTTATCAATACTAATTCTTATGGACTCATTTGGGTGATGTACATTTATAGAGCTGTTGGTTTAGTTGTTTGAAGACTCTGTTAGCCATGAAAATATCATTGGAAATATATTGCAAACTGACATCATTCATCTGCTTTGTTTGTTTCCTAGGCCAAACAAGACCAACTTGGGAATTAAGATCTGTTATATGAAGCATGTGATCTCTTGCTAGAGCGACAACACTGGTTACTATTTGCTTTTCTTTCTTTTCTTTCTTTCTCTCTTATAAGTCTTCCTGGGCTTCTTTTTAGTGTGCCTTTACTTAATGCTACCACCATGAGTTTTCAGTAGCTGCATTCATAATTAGAAACTTTTGTCAAGGACCATCAAGCTTCTTTTTTCTTTTTTCTCCTACTGGCACTTTTATTTAGGTGAGCAATTGGTATTTAAACTTGTGTATCTGCTGCAATGATTCTAATAGTTGGTTGTCTCTTTAAAAATATATTTTAGTTCCAATTCAATTATGTTTAACTATGTCTAATTATAATTCTGGTTTTTCTATTAGTTTTATTATTCGAAGCCTTGAGTTTTTCTATAGAAGTAGAATATAAAAGCAATAAATAAATTGATGTTTTCCACTTAGGTTTGCATCCAGCTCATCCCCATTCATTTCCATTTATTCAGATCAGACGGAGCACACAATTCAGCTAGCCAAAATTTAGGTTGCTGTTTGTTTATTAGGTATCGGCAGTTTATCAACAGTTAACTGGCAAAAGGGGCAAAAATGGTTAAAGCAGAGAAAGAGACAGAAAGGTGAACAGCAGACAAAATAAAAAGGGCAGAGCACATAATATCAATAATTTACATTTCATATATATTAATATATCTCTATTGAAAGGCACCAAACTTTAAAAAGCCACTGGGAGAATGCTGTGGTTAATTAGCATGAACAGTCCAAAAGGAAGTGGCCTTTGACTGTGTCAGATTTAATCCTTTTATGTACAGAAGAGTTGCTGAAAAGAGATGGGAAGTAGGACATCAGATAATCCCTTTTCCATTCTGCACCATGAAGGTAACAATTTGGAGGATGGGAATGATGTGTCCAACACAAAATAGGGAAATCAGGGTATAAAAGGAAAAGAGAATATGAGGCTAAGCATAGCTTCACATTTTTTCATCCATGATGACTGAACCAGATTAAAATATGAAATGTGTTTCAGTATTTAGATCCTATTCTCATTAATGTTGTAACCTATTATTTCTAAATAGAAAGCAGCTCACTAAAAAGTGATGTTTTCAACTTCAAACTATGCTTGAATGTTTAAATTCTTACATATATATAATTTCCTGATTATTCCTTGAAAATATACAACATATTAAGCAGAGAAGGGGAGGTGAGATTTCTTAAGCAAATTTCCCTTTATATAGACATATCCATGCACAATTTGAGTAAAGCTTTGGATCTTGTTTCTACCTTGGCTATTAACCCTATAACAGTTACTGGATTTGCCAATCTAGTTCTTTGTGTCTTGAAAAGGTCTGTAAAAGCTGAGCTGGAACAAGACCTTTCTTTTTCCAGAAGACATTTGAAATGTAGAGTGTTTACTAATGTAAACATACATCATTTAAATATCAACAATTTCTAATGTTTCCAAATCACATTTACATGTACTATGGCACGGGTTTTCATTATTGATATATTACCACAACCAGAGCTGCATTCAAGTGGAAATGCTCACAGTCAAGATGTTTCATCACATTTGTTTAAAATATAGAGCCTATTTATTTAAAAATCTTTGAAGATAATTTGCAAAACCTGTAGTACTGGGAATTAGAAATGAAGCAACACAAAAGCTTTTAAAAGGGATTCTGTTCAGGTAAGAGAATAAATACTGCTCGTCAGTAAAAACAAGATGCCAGGCACTTTTGTTTTCACTAAAAAGCCTGGGGACCAGTGACTTAATAATAAAATATTGACCAACTGAGTATGTGTATTAAAATCTCTTTCAATTGTTAGTTCAATTTTCATTTCTCCTAAAGGTTAATTTGTAGGAAGTTATTCAAATCAAGTTATTACTCTGGATGCATACAATATTT